GCAGTCTGGTCTCTACGTTGCATTTTCACATTACTGCTCCACTTCTTCACCTTATCACATTGCCTCTGGAGCCTTTAGGACCTGTGCGGACTTCACCAATAGGAAGTGTCCATGTGATGCAGCAGCATGTGCAACCAAAAAAACGACACTCCTACTCTGCAGTCGAAAAGAAGAAAGACTTAGAACCTGCTGCGTTATGTGACTTCACGTACGTAATTAGGGCTTTTTGTTTTGAATTTTTGTTTACAAATTGATTTATAGAATTGGTTAAAGGGGAGTGGGGTCAACTTTTTTGGAGGGGTTTGCCTAGAATTCAGCTTCAAGGGTTAATGCACATAGGCATCATCTTCAGAAGCAAGTCAAACACGGCATGCCCTCAGCTGCTTCCAGACAAAATTATTTGTGCTTGAGATGCTTCTCAACAGCCTCTGACTTTCTTTTGTTTGCATTAAAATTGGCATGTATGGGAGGAAAAAAGGTAGTGTAGATGCAGCTTAATATTATATGCCAATTTTACCAATATGCTAAGCAATATAGCAATAATGTGAACCCTGTTCCACAAGATCAATGTCAAACAATGAATTTGAAACCTTCCATGCTGCTTCATAAAAATATACATTTCAGTATTGAAAAGTATGAACTGCATCACAAAGGGCTATTATTGTTATAGTGCATCTAGTTCAGTGCTTTCATGGTGCTGACAAGTCCACGTTAAAGGCCAATTAAATTCTCTTGTTTAACTGGTAAAGCAGCAACAATTATAGCAAAACAGTCTGTCCCCTGTCATCATGCTGCATAGAAGGACCCTTGCTCTGTGACTGAAAGCAGCGGCCTCTCTGACACAGCACTTCCCCCCTCGTCGTCATGCAGAGTATGAGCGTTGCTTGAGTGGCAAATTCTAGTTCTGACTCATAGGGGCATGCCGTATCACTGCTGGGAGACCAATGATTGCACACTGGAAGCCAACGTCTTTGTTTTTAGCTTGATAAATGAGAAGGGGGGCTATTTTACCGTGGCTGTATTACCAGCTTAAGCTGAAAATTATTCAGGGTTTTAAATGAGAATTAATTTGGGCTCTAAAGCAAATGTATCATTACCATAAAGGTACTGAACAGGCATTAGCAAATACTTTTTAGCACTCCAAGTGCCTGATATCCTGCGATGTCATAATGAGCTAGTTGGGACACTTCATGATAGTATCCAGATTTGACTCAACATCATCCACATGTACCTATTTGACAATAAAGCTGGCCATGCATGGCCCACATTTTATGGTGGGTTAGTCCAGTTGGATGATAAAGTGAACCTGGGGAGAACTAAATTTCATTGTAGCACCCTGAATTAAAGAAATGCAATTTAAAGCCACAAAACATGTCCTTTTTGGTGAAATAAAGCAATTCAATGTTCATTAATTTAGATGACTGAGACCTATCCTTAGGCATACCGTAACAGGCACCTCTGCTATTCAGGTCACTGATGGGGTTTTTCTAGACCTCTTTACACCTACCTGAGAACCCCACAGAGCATTCAGGACTGGGACCCCCAGGGTATCAAGAGCAACTTTTTAATTCCTGTATGGAGACAGGGTATTCTTTACATGTCCTTACGGAAGGTTGCATGTCTCTACCCAACAGGGTAACCACAGTTTCAACAAATGTAAGTTGATTTTTTTTTCCTTTTTTTAATCCGCTTGGTAAACGTTTTGAGCAGGCATTAGCAAAGACTTTTAAGCACTCCACGTGCCTGACATCTTGTCATAATGAGATAGTTGGGACACTTCCTGGTAGTATCCAGATCTGACTAATCATCATCCACATGTACCTACTTGACAATAAAGCTGGCCCTAATTTCATGATGGGTTAGTCCACTTGAAGACATAGCGAAACCGGGGAGAACTAAATTTAATTGTAGCATCCTAAATTAAAGAAATGGCAATTTAAAGCCACAAAACACATCTATTTTGGTGAAATAAAGCAATTCAATGTTCATTACCCAGATGACTCAGACTCATTTATAGACATACTGTATAATAACAGGCACCTCTGCCGTTCGGATCGCTGACGGGGTTTTTCTATACCTCTCCTAGTTCTACACCCACCTGAGAACCCCACAGTGGAATCAGGACCTGGAACCCTATGGTATCGAGAGCAACCATTTCAATCCTGGGTTGGCACACAGTATTCTCCACATGTGCTCATGGAAGGTTCCATGTCTCTACCACACAGGGTGACCGCTGCTTCATCATATGTAAGTTGTTTTTTCTTTTTTTAGCCACTTAAGAAACTTTTTGAGTAAATCACCTTTTTTTTAATTATTTACTAAATTATAAGGGCTCTCCTGCCTCCAATATTTCTATCCTGGTGGACACAACGAACGCCCCTTGGGCCATTAGCCAGGCTTTTACAGCAGAGCCCCTCAGACACCCATGGAACACCACTTCCTAAATCACATTGCCCAAATTTCGACTTACAGCTGAATTGGCCAAAATTTGAGTCATGGGTGGCCCTGAAAATTGTCAGCCAAACAGTGACTGCATCCTAGCAGCACCCGCAGCTGTATGAATACAATAGCCGCAGGGGAGATTCCTCCATCTATGTTATTAAGCGTGAATCTATTTGATTGTGTATATGCCTAGCTGTAGGCTGCCCATCATAATGATAAACCAATAAAAATATGCGGTAGATGGAAGACCAACTGTCAACACTTTTAAGAACTATCAAAACTGCCATTTTACTGGATACTTGACACCTGGTGGCAGAAGGGTCATGTGGAGGTATGTGCAGGTACTGCTAAGTTACTACATTGCACCGGCTCCAACCGGTTTTGTACATTCATGGCACTGCTAAGGCTTGCTCTAAGACGTCATTTGACAATACACAAAATTGACAGAGCTTGTTGCTCTCAAATGCAATGTACAAAAACATCAAGTCAATAAGCAGGAGTTTGGACAGGACAATATAAAATTCTGACATCCTATCAGGGTACATCTGCTGGTCTGAATCTGTCACAGTGACATTAAATATAAAAATTCCCAGGAGTTTGAATTGTCTGCCTCTTGTATGCTTCATAACCTTAAATATACAAGTGCTCTGAATGGGGACTCTCACGGGAAGGAAATTGATTTTGCATGTATCTCAATATATTTGAATACATTACACATAAAAAACATGAAAGAATGTACTGACTTTATTGTGGGTTTGCGGCTGCCTTCGAGGGTGCCATCTTTGGCAGGCTAATTACACAAAAAAGTCAAAGACCAACAATAATTCTGTTCTCCAAGTTTTATCTCAAAAAATAAATGAAATGTGACAATGAAAAACACTTTGACTTGAAAAGGCCATTTTATTGTGACCCTATTAACAAATAAACATTATTTGTAAGGAAAATATCCTATTTTTGCCAGAAATACCTACACACCAATGTTGCTGGTGCCGATCTTTTATTGTATGCATACTATCCATTTGGCATTTATTGTGGAGCTACCATATACAAATGCCCCAAGAAAATATAATGTATAAAGCAAGCTGACTTTCATATTACACATTCTCTTGCAGACTGTAATGCCTCTAAAAGCAAATCAAAAGCTACCGTAATTTTATTTTTTAGAGCAGAAACTCACTTCCATTGAGAAGGTGAGTTGGTGTGCCAACCTAATTTCATGATGGGTTAGTCCACTTAAAGACATAGCGAAATCGGGGGGAACTAAATTTAATTGTAGCACCCTAAATTAAAGAAATGGCAATTTAAAGCCACAACACACATCTATTTTGGTGAAATAAAGCAATTCGATGTTCATTACCCAGATGACTCAGACTCATCTATAGACATACTGTATAATAACAGGCACCTCTGCCGTTCGGATCGCTGACGGGTTTTTCTATACCTCTCCTATTTCTACACCCACCTAAGAACCCCACAGTGGAATCAGGACCTGGACCTCTTGCAGACTGTAATGCCTCTAAAAGCAAATCAAAAGCTAATTCAAGCTAATCAAGCTAATTTTATTTTTAGAGCAGAAACTCACTTCCATTGAGAAGGTGAGTTGGTGTGCCATTAAAGCCCAACTCCATTGAAAATAAAAAGATTCCCTTGCAAAGGGCTATCCCCCATTTCCCCCCTCAATTTTTTATGTCACAAGATATTTGTGAATCCTTTTATTAAATGCAAACTTTCAGGAAAAATACACTTAAATAAAATGTAGTTCACACAAACACCATATAATACCAAATCTTTTTGTAAAATATAAAATATGTGTTTGTGCTGAGTAAGTAGATACCAAACATGTCAAGATATAAAATTGCGCATGTCTGTGAAATGGCGACAAACTACGGTAGCTAAAATTGGCACTGTCCATAGACAATACTTTAGAGTGGTTGCAAGGGCTGAAATTTTTTTTACCTTTATGCATTCTATGCATGAAGGTAAAAAATCTTCTGTGTGCAGCCCCCCCCCCCCCCCCGGGCCCCCTTAATATTCACTTGAGCCCTCTTGATCCTGCAATCTGCATGAGAGCCTCGGCTGTCCTGGGACCCCCTCATCTCATTGACTCCCACTGCTGTCAATCACAGCCAGTGAGCAAATGAGTTGAAAGCTGGGGGTGGCACCAAGCCGTGCCTCTATGTGTCTTACAGATGCATAGAGCAGGGCTCAGGAGCGAGCATGCACCACTGCCCCCATAGCACATGGCTTGCTATTGGGGGCACTGGTTAACCACTTGCCTACAGGGCACTTATACCCCCTTATTTACCAGGCCAATTTTCAGCTTTCAGCACTGTCGCATTTTGATTGACAATTGCGCGGTCATGCAAGATTGTACCCATATGAAATTTTTATCATTTTTTTCTCACAAACTGGTGGCACTGACTGGTGGCACTGACTGGCAGCACTGCTGGGCTGCACTGATGGGCACAGGTGGGTGGCACTGGTGGGCACATGTGGGTGGCACTGGTGGGCACAGGTGGGTGGCACTACTGGGCACAGGTGGTGACACTGCTGGGTGGCACAGGTGGGTGCACTGCTGGGCACAGGTAGGCGCATTGCTGGGCACAGGTGGGCTCATTGCTGGGCACAGGTGGGCGCATTGCTGGGCACAGGTGGGTGGCACTTCTGGGCACAGGTGGTGACACTGCTGGGTGGCACAGGTGGGCGCATTGCTGGGCACAGGTGGGCGCACTGCTGGGCACAGGTGGGTGGCACTACTGGGCACAGGTAGGTGGCACTGCTGGGCACAGGTGGGTGCATTGCTGGGCACAGGTGGGTGGAACTTGTATGTGGCATTGCTGGGCACCGATCATCAGGGCACTGGTGATCAGTGCCCTGATGATCGGTGCTGATCCCCGCTCTGACAACTGCCAGTTTTCGGCAGTACTTTCCTCACGATCTGACAGCGTGAGGAAAGTGCAGCCGAGAACCGGCATTTGCATTTTCCCGGTGATCAGCGTGTCATTGGACATGGCTGATCACATGGTAAAAGTCCGCTGTGATTGGCCTTTTACCACGTCACGTGATCAGCTGTGTCCGTAGGACACAGCGATCACGGAGATCGCCGGGTGCGCGCCGAGAGCGCGTTCTGGGAGGACGTCATATGACGTCCACCCAGAACTGGCCAGCCGCAGTGCAGCCGTCATTCGGCTATCTGCGGCCGGCAATTAGTTAAGGGGGAGGTTAGTTAAGGGGGAGGAGAAACGAGCGCTGGCGGTGAACTTGAGAAGAGGAGGATCAAGCTCCACAGCAAAACCACTGCACAGAGCAGGTAAGTTTAACATGTTTGTAATTTTTTTCTTTTTTTGAGCTGAATCTTTAATATCACTTTAAAAGCCTTTACAGGTTACCAGTTTAGAATTAAAGGTGAGCTATCACACTAGAATTCTTGTTCTCGCATGGACATTTACAGCGATACCTCACATGTGTGGTGCAATTACCGTTTACATATGCGTGCTGGAACTACAAGTGTGTTTGCATTTATGTGCGAGCACGAGGGGACAGAGATTCTTTTACATTTTTTAAATTTATTTAAATTGCATTTTTTTTTACACTTCTTTAATTCTTTTTTTATTCAACTTTATTGCTATCACAAGGGATGAACAACATCCCTTGTGATAGCTTGGGCAGTGAAAGGTACTCTTTATGGAGAGATCTGGGGTCAATTAGACCTCGGATCCTTCCTCTTCCCTTCAAAGCATATGATTCAACACAGAACCAAAACCAGAAGTAACACAATTCTTGTCACTTTCGGCTTCATTCGTTACAGAGGAGGAGGAGGAATGGATGTTCCTCCATCTTCTCTGTGGGCAGCCAGCCCGGCCACTTGGAAAAGTCCTGATACCATGATCCTGGTATAACCACTTGTTCCCAAAGCTGTACATATACAGTTATAGAGAATTCCAGGTATGGATATTTTATACAGAGTTACATTGGCCTGGCTTGACTGATGTAACTATGTCCAGTATCTACCATATTTGGCTGATGTCCATGGAAGCTGAAAATCACTGACAACACTACACTAGCAACCTGTTGCTTCTGGGTCCTGCATCAAGCGACTTCCCTGCTACATTCCAAACCCATGCTTTACATTTTCTCCATGAATGCAAAGTGTTTTCTGATTGGGTGAGGTGGAGAGGTGAGGCAGTGACATCATGCTCTCCAGCTTGTCCAATCACACAAAGCTTTTTCATTCATTCATAATAATTAATAAAAATGCCAAGTGGCGGACTTCCTGTGCTAAAATACAGAATGCAGAAGGCAGCCGCTTGACATAGGACCTAGAAGTGGAGATTATTGAAGTAGTGATGTCTACTACAGATATTTCCAGCTTCCAGGGGCATTGACCAGGTATGGTATATGGACCAATGTATCTACGATAAAATATCCATACCTGGAATTCTTTAAATTTTCAGATCAAAAGATCGGGAAGATAAGGACAGGGCCACCCATGGCTCGAATTTCCTGATGAAACTGGCTGAAATTCGCTCCATGTATGGCCAGCTTAAGATGGGTAAACTTCTTTTTTTACCACTCAGGAAAAATGGGAACCAAAAGCAACAGATCTAAAAGGCCCTTTGATTACAAATCACATAATGCTGCACTATCACTTCCATACAATGTTCGAGCGGCACCTGCTTTTGTAATAGCTTTTAGACATCTGTATGTTGTAGTGTGAGATGTAGTATATTATTGTTTGTGACACACCTCAAATGCCAATTTACTTGTCTGAAGATTACACTCTGGGACCAATAAAACTCAACAAATGCATCAATTGCAGGTGAACGGCAAATCTGCCGCTTCTCTGCTTGTCCTGGAATATGGTGCTTGGAATCAAATTATTGTGTACTTATTTCTGATAATGAAACACACTGGCTGCCTAGAATGTAAATGCAGTACATTATACTCTAAGAAAAAAGGGAGAGGTCGGCAGATTAAAATTTATATCTAAAAATTCCTGTTTCTCTTCAGTCCTGCAGCACTGAATGGGTTCAATTATGCTGGAAAGCGATGTGAAAAATACATTTCAGTGTCCTTACAAATGTAAATGAAAAAGATTTAATAAACTCTGCACTTTTCTCAAATGCTGGTTTATTTATTTTTTTAACACTGCAGAGCTGTCAACACTTTAATATAATTTATGGGAAAACATTTTGCATTTGCTAAAAGGAGTGCTGGTAAAGTTTTTTCTTACTTGATCTGAATTCTTGTAACAGTTGCAGAAAATAAATCCTGAAAGCCCGATTGAACTTACAGTTTACCTAAGCTAAAAACATTGCAGGGGCATCAAAACAAAAGGTGTGCAAAGTCTTATAGCACGTTTCCATTAGAAAGCAGCCACAGCCTAAGTAGAAAAGTCTGCTCTCTGTTAGCATGCTGCAAGAGAAGGACCCTTTCTCTTTGTGTGGAAGCAGCGGCCTCTCTGGAGAGGTCTGACTCCCCATCTATTGAGTCAGAGCTAGAGCCCTCCAATCAGCAGTGAGCTTGAGCTTTGCTCAATAGAGAGCTCTAGCTCTGAATCAGAAACGGGTGTGCCAGACCTCTGCAGAGAGACCACTTCTTCCACACAGACAGTAAGGTTTTTCCTGCAGCATGCTGGCAGGGGACAGGATTTGCTGTGGCTGTGGCTGCTTTCTAAATCAAATAAAATGTAACACATTACACACCTTTTTTGTTGAAGCTCCAGTACTGTTTGTTAAAATAAATGGTAAGTTCAATTCAGCTTTAATAAAACATTAAAGTGACATTAAACTTTCGCTTTTGTTTAGTTTTTTTACTAAAATAACAAACATGTCATACTTACCTGCTCTGTGCAATGGTATTGCACACAGCAGCCCGGATCCTGCTCTTCTGGGGTCCTCCACTGGCCGCGCCAGGCTTCTCCTAGTTTGACGGGTGCCCCCATGGAAAGCTGCTTTTCATGGGGGCACCCGTGCAGGCTTGTTCCCGAGCCGCCCTGTCTGTGTCCATTGACACAGAGTGGGCATCTTGGCCCCACCCCCCACTGACTCAGCACGGCATTTGATTGACAGCTGCCCGGGGAGGAGGGAGACAGCTGTGAGAGCCGCTGCTCTCTTGGACATTGCTGGATCAGATTGGGCTCAGGTAAGTAAAGGGGGGGTGCTGGGGTCCATCTTGCAGCATAGAAGCTTTTTCACCTCAATACATAGAATGCATTAAGGTGAAAAGCCTTATGACTTTAGACCCATTTTACAGTATATCTAAAGTGAAACTAGGACAGGGTAAGGAAAAGGTTAAAGCCCATCAGGTTTTTTTTGCCATCTACATCCTATTGGAGAGATTTGTCTTCACTTCTTGTCCTCTAGACTCAACAGGAAGTGACAGGAAATCTCTCCAAAATGCCACTGAAATGTCCTTTTAGACAGTTGTCTGGAACAGATGTTCTAATTGGAACCTTTCTACTCCAATCCTGTTCAGGGGACAACTCAAAATTCTGGATATTTCCTCACATTCATTCACAGATACATTGGTCACCAGGACAAATAGAAAGCTTTGCTTTCATGTGGCCTCCAGACCACCTTGGTGGTGACCATTTGACCAGTGACTAAAAGTTTGAATTCCAGTCGTAAAATAGCAAGTATGTTTTTCACCATTTTGAAGCCATTTTTCTTGAATTTCAATGTGCAACTGCATTTAATTATAAGTTTAAGTCCTCTTTCTTGCTCATGGTATTCACAAAATGTGCTATTATATGCCAAACCTTTTACAAAATCACACATAATTTAAAATGCTTAATTGAATCTTGGGACCGTATCTGGAATATATAGATCTTGTAAAATGTAGATCTCCAAATAGAAAGCAAGTCTTAAATTCCCAACATCTGTAGCAAGAGATGAAATGAGATCAGTGATGGTGGTAACATCACAACTTATGCTACCAATGGGGCATCTCTCTAGATAAGGGGTTCCTAGCCTGGGGTCCATGGATGGGTTTCAGGGGTCCATGAGGATCAGATTTAAAATAAAATGCACATTCATTGAAATAAACTAGATAACGAGAGAGGGGTGGGAGAGAGAAAAAGAGAGAGACTTGAGTGAGATAGAGAGAGTAGTAGTAGTAATGATAGTAGAAATATAGTAGTTACCTGCCCACCAAAAGGGACTGGCCATATATCTTTTCCTATCAGCCACACAAATGATAGCCAAGGCATGGAAAAGGCCTTTACAGGGGACCGTATGACTGAGATGCTAATCAGTGAGAAACTATCCAGTATCCTCAATGACTCAACCAAAATTTTTACGAACCTGGGAACCATGGCTTAATCATGCTCTACTTTCTTTGAACCCAGCAAGCCTATCCTATCTTTAGTCTCCTAATTAGATTGGAACCCAAGTTTGTGGGGATTTACTCCCCACCCTTCCCTTCCCACATACCATTTGCCTACCCTCTTCCCCTCTTTTTCCTCCCACCTATTTTCCAACCCCCTCCCACTCAATCCAATTCTGACTGTTCAATCCGCTCAAGGCATCTCATTCATAACCCTCAACACTTGCCTCTTGATGGTTTTCACTAATTGTTATTTTGAGATCTCTGTTTATGCCCCTGCGTAGGTTTAACAGTTGTTTTGATTTCTATACTTGAAACTCCTAATAAAATCATTGAACCACAAAATATAGTTATATATATATATATATATATATATATATATATATATATATATTTATACATATACTGCATTGCCAAAAGTATTGGGACGCCTGCCTTTACACGCACATGAACTTTAATGGCTTCCCAGTCTTAGTTGATAGAGTACAATATTGAGTTGGCCCGCCCTTTGCAGCTATAACAACTTCAACTCTTCTGGGAAGGCTGTCTACAAGGTTTAGGAGGGTGTCTATGGGAATGTTTGACCATTCTTTCAGAAGCACATTTGTGAGGTCAGGCACTGATGACGGACAAGAAGGCCTGGCTTGCAGTCT